TGAAGATATGACATATTGATTTTTATGCGACTTTGATTTGAACTATCATCATTTCTCCCAATAGGTCGTGACAATTCTAACTCAGATTTTCTTTTAAAATCTTTTTTCCATAACTGTCATAAATAGTTCTCCACCAAATTACAAAATGAGTGAACTTGGTGGGATCTTTATTATTCTTTTATAATATAAGGGTTTTTCTTTTTTAATATAAGCTTTGGGCTTAAAGTGTATGTATTGGATGAGCCATGTGGGGGCTCCACCTAAGAAGGTCCTACAAATAATTAAAAAAAAAAAAAGTAAGTTTGGGTGAGATTATATGGCTGAAATGTTTTTGTAAGTGTGGGCAAGTGTCCATAGTTGTCCTTCATTGGGTCCGCGATTGAAGATAACACCACAGTGACATTCCTGTTGCATAACACTCTGTTTAAAGGACTTCTTTGACTTTCCAAATTGTTATATGTGCCGATTCCACAGGCTATAAACCCCTCCAAGTTATAATAGGAAAAGTTACCTTATGCTTCAAGAAACAATTGGAAAACTAAAGTCAACCAAAAAAATGTGGTTTACCAAAACTTTCATATTTCCCCCTCTTTACCCTAATGTTGCATGCCTAGGATGTACTACGAAGTATAAATCCTATGCATTAACTTCAAGAGTGAATTTTTAAGAGAGAGACACAAGAGAATTCAATGGGGAATTCTAGGGTGTTTTTTTAAGGGCATCAAAGGGTTTGAGCAAAAGGAAGAAATTTAGAGATCTTGTCAGAGCTAAGGGGGTTCAAGTTATAACCAAAGTTTTCAAAATATTTCTCTCTCCTTTGGCTTTTTCCAAAATGTCCCAACACTTTAGATCTTGTCGTTGATAAATTATACAACGGCACATATACAAATTCTTTGAGAATAAAACGGGACATTTTGGAAAAAGCCAAAGGAGAGAGAAATATTTTGAAAAAAAGCCAAAATGGACAAAAATGCCCTTATTTGTTTTTGGATTTCCTAAAGAATCATTTACATTTGCATATCTTTATTTTGAAAGTTGATGAGTTATTCAGTTTTTTTTGGGTAATTTTTTGACTTTTTTCAAAAATAAAAGTTTTTTTGTGACTAAAACATAAATTTACATAAAGAGTTTCTGCACAACAAATTTGACAGGCAGAGACAGAGAATAATAACCGCAAAGCACAAATGGCCAATGCATGTTGGCGTAGGCCTACAAACTGAACTGTGTGCGTTACCATGGGCCTTGCCCACAGGATACAAAGATTAGGACAAAATTTATTCAAATCAAGATGTAGACAAGTTATTTAATTTGATTTTTTTCAGAAAGAAAAGTAATGGGAATCGAAACTTTCTCATGGGATAATACATGCTTGTGAACATGTCGGAATATAAGAACAAAAGTGAAAGATTGAATTTAGTCAGCCAAATATATTAAATATACACCAATCGGGTGTTAGTTGAATTGATTTAGATTTTGAGCGTGCTTCTAAGTGATCTTAATCTCAAACTTCCATACATGTGAACATGTCGGAATATAAGAACAAAAGTGAAGGGCTAAATTTAGTTGGCCAAGGATATTAAATATACACTGGAAAATTAGATGATATATAGATAGAAGGCATAATATAGAAGGAAGGATTGTTTTGGCCCACAGCAGAATGGGCAAAAGAGATGCCGGACCCATGACTGGCAACAATCATGACAAGTTGTGACAAGGTCAGAATGCGACATCAAATTGATGCTTATGTAGAGAACATTGCTCCCGTCTACACCAACTGTTTTCTTATGCATTTTTGTGCTTCATTTCATGTATTTTGCTTATGTTGTCATAAAATTGTAGTCAAAATGAATGATCCAATTCACACCCCAACTTCAGTTTTATATGGTTCTAGAGTGACACTTGGGTTCTCCCTTATCCTCACCATCCACCACTTGCTTGTATTGTATGAACATTTAGTTAGAGGTAATCCATAATCAAATCCCGAAATCAAATCAAATCAAATCAAATAGTCAGAATGTGATGATATTGGGAGAATTCATGCGTGTATGCAACAATTTTCTTCTAATTATATATCTTTTTTAGCTTACATACTAATCACGTGATTAGTTATTAGTTCACATATAAATTACGTGATTAATTATTGTGAGAGAAATGTTGTATACATGAATGATATCTAAGAGTTTCTCCGTGATGCTGAAAGATAACCAGATGGAGCACAACTAGATCCTAATTTACCAAAATCCAACTATGATGAACAGCATAAGCAGAAAGTTGGAAGGAGGTGAAGGGGGCCTATGAAGTGTTTTGCTTTTGCTGCTGATGATATTGAGCTATAAGTTGGCTTGGGACTGAATTTACTTTCCATCTTGAAATAAAATATCCCATTGGATGTCACTCATTAAAGCATTGGCCCAAAGAAGAAGCACCATTAAATTTCTTTCCACTCCTTATACACTGAAGATTATTCGACAGAGTCTGCAATATTATATATTGTGCAGAGCCTGCAGATTATTGGGCAGAGTCTGCAGACCATCTAGATACAGAATACTCCAGCTCATTTAGAAATATATATTCTGACTATAAAGAACAGGCCACCAACCTTACAGCTATAATTACTTTCTAACAATTAGGCAAAAAAGAAATGCAGCCAATTAATAATTTTCATTTCACCAGAAGAACAGTGCAAATTGACACCAACAAACAAATTGATCCCCAAGCTAAGATTGGCAAATGAACATCAAATTTTTCCTAGATAATTACATCTAACCAGGAAATGAACTGAAAAGACCCATGACTAACTAAACCGGCTCAACCTTGTAGATCTTGGGTTTGGACCTCTTGATCATCCAACACTCCTCAAAATCCTTGGCCTCATATGGGATCCTCAAAACCCCATCATTGCAAAAACCATATTCTTCAGCTGATCTGTAAAGCAGCTCCATGAACTCTGCATGGCCAAGCAACTTGGTGTGCACCATGAAACGCCTAGTATCACCATCCACACCGACACAAACAGGCACATAACCTCTCGGTGCCACTGGAGGAGGGAATTTCAGTCTTTTAGCTCCTCGAGCGCCGATGAACTGGCTCAGCTTGCTGCTTCTCACCCCCATTAGCAAATAAGAAAGTAGTCTCTTCATCTAGTTGTGGATTAGTGATTCAATTAATTCCAAATATATAATATTGGTGCTCCCTATCAGTACAAATTTAAGGCTGCCATGCGTACTCTGCGTCCTTGCTATGCTTACCCTAGTACAATTTATGTCCCCATTAGACGACGTTGATTAAAGATATATTTCGCCGTCCTAAATTAACTTGATGATTGTGACATTAACATCTTAATTAAATTGCAAATGTTTAAATGTACGTGCTTGTTACTATTGAGGTGCATTGTCTTATGAGGAGGCAAGCAACATGCCGTGGCTACAAGGTTGAAAATAGCTTTAATAATTTCTTTTTCCAGTTACTATTATTTTAGTCTGTAATTGTCATGTAAATTCACCTTGAAGCTGCCTGATTAGCATATTTTATGTCTTTGCGATCTGAGATTTATGTGCAACCCGTGAATGAGTCAATGAGATGTCACTAATTAATTAATTCAACCTTGCCGACCCTCAATCCAGAAATTTCGAAAGCTGATTAATTATAATCTTCCAAGGTTAATGAATATAAAATGATTCAGTCTGTTTCCTTTAATTTGTTGGCATTCATCATGTACAAGAAGGAAGCTTATTTGTACTGAAGGAAAGATTGCTTTGGGAATCGTAACTTGACAAGTATTGGAGCCAGCCACTCACATGAGACAATTTGAAGGCTTTGCAAATGAATTTTCCTGGAGTGACGATGTGTGCAACTAATAATAACGTACCGTACTTACCAAAAGAATCTGGAACACCGAACACAGAAGAGAGCTTGAAATGAAGGAAAATTGAAAGCATTTCTAATTTATAATTTAGATTGGCTAGACTACTTTTATTCAATATGTTTAAGTATTTACGGTATCCAAAAACAAAACAAAAAAGCAAAAGACCCACTATTATAGTGATTTGGAGCAATTGCTCTCTGAGGCAAGGTGTTGGATTCGAGTCCTATCATCTGTGTAATGTGTGTGAATTTAGTAAATTGTCACCCCCTCTATATAAAAGGTTCTGAAAAAATAAAAATAAAGCATTGCAAAGAAACAAATTAAAGCTAATGCAAACTACTGCAAAGCGTACATCACGAAAATCAATTATGATCTCAAAACAAGCTATAAAAAAAAAGCCCAAAACAACCAAAATTTTAAAAAACTCATATTTTCAAATGAAATATTACCGTCATAAAGTGAAAAAATAAAACTTGTGTCCAAAGAGAAATATTTTGAATTGGTAATAAAGGATGCAGTCTTGAAAGATTAGAAATTATTTTTCAGTCTCCAAATAAATAAAGGTAATCGGAAACAAAAATTGAGTGCAAACAAATTTCCTCCCATTTAGATTAGGATACTTGGGTGTGACAGGTTTCCCCCTCTGTAGAGGATTATTGTGCAAAGGATTTGGGCTTAATGGGCTAGGAGAAACTTGAATCGGCAAATCACAAACCCACAATTGCTTAATCCTTAAACACTAATTAATTTTGTGCAAAAGGATTTAATCAACATGAAAAAGGTGAGTACGTAATTTTTGGGTGAGATTAAGTACTTTGCTTAAATTGAAGACAGGATAGTATATATATTTATGATAAAAGATTGTACAATCTCCATATCCATATTTTTAGCCTAAGCTCTAGAAATTAACTACCCAAAATCACACCTTAATCATATCCTTCACAGCCAAGTCATTGGATCTTGCCATTGTATAAACCACTTACCTTCTTCATAAGCCAAAACTTAGAGCTTTACCTATATTGCTTGACAATATTTTAGGGTTTTCCATACCTTCCTTCTCGATCTCTAGGGTTTTGCATATTTTCCTTCTCGATCTCTAGGGTTTTCCATTAATATAACGAGTACTAGTACTGCCATGGCTAAGATTAAGATTCCCAAGAGTGAGATCGCAGACAATAATATTACTAGTGATGGAAAAAAGGGAAGCAAAGGTCGGAGAAGAATTGAAATCAAGAAAATTGAAGAGAAGAACAAGCGTCACGTGACCTTCTCCAAGCGCAAAAAGGGTATCTTCAACAAAGCCGCCGAGCTCAGCGTTTTGAGCGGTGCAGAGATAGCGACGATGGTCGTGTCCAGCAACGGCAAGGTGTTCTGCTTCGGCACACCCAACTACGACACGGTCATCAACCGCTACCTTGGCCACCACACTGCCTCCTTGGCTGCAGCAGGTCAACTAGATCATGGTGCTTTGCTGCATGGTAAGACAACGCGAAGTAGTAATAAACAAGTTGAGAACTATGTGGAAGCTACGAGGCACCTCGAGGCAGAGAAGATATCATTCAAGGGTGAGGAGAATAATAAAAATATTAATTTTGTTATTAATAATAATAATTATAATAGTGATTATGAGGGACGAGAAGGAGGTTGTGGTTATGGGTGGTGGGAGAGGCCGATCCCGATTGGGATGATGAGTAGTGTGGAGGAGTTAGAAGAGTACAAGGCAGCCTTGTACAAGTTGAAACACAATGTGGAGGTTCGAACCAATCTGATGATTATGGGAAGTGCTCCTTCTAATTACTATTCATCGCTTTTGGTTATGGGTGATTAATTAGGAGAGTCGTTTTGGAAGCAAGGGTTATTGGTGATGTATAATAAACTAGTAGAACTATATATGTCATTTTATCTACCTTGATTATCTATGACATGAGGTTTGGGATGCTTCTTCTTTTATCTCTAACTTGTATAATATATATATATATATATATATTTGTAAAGAGAGCCGGCACTTCAAAATAGTCACATTGCACTCCTTATTAGTGAACGAAGATAAAGAAAAGAGATAAGTGTAAGATGACTATTTTGAAGTGCTAATAATAATTCCATAAATAAATGTATAATGTTCTATGACTGCGTTATATATGCATGTTAGACTCAATATGAGGAGAAATTATTGAAGGGTTCGGGATGCTTAGGGTTTGTTTGGTATTCAACTTGAATTCAATTTTTTAAATTTAAAAATAGAATTTAAGTCCAAAACAAAGAAAACCTGTTTGATAGTCCTATTTTTAAAAACTCAAACTCAAGAACAACTAAAAAAACACCCCAATTATTAAAAACAAAAATATTTGTTTTTTCAGTTTTTTTTTTTTTTCTAACAACCCACAAATTCTCAAATTCTTAATATTTGAAAACAATTTTTAAGTTCCATACCAAACAAGTTTTTGAATCTTAAAAATAGATTTAAGAACTCCTTGTTTTTAAGAGAAATCAAAGTTTTTGAGTTCCTTATTTGAATAAGATACCAAACGCCCCTTTAATTGTTGTTTGTTTTTCTTAAATCCTTACTTTATCTGATTAAAAAAATGGATATGTATAATTTCTCTATCTTTTCATTTTGTCCGGCCAATATATGTGATTGTTGATTGTTTGATGAACGAGTATATATCATTGATCTCATAGTCATCTCTAATGTGTTGGTTATGCGAATAGTTACTGCAAGAGGTACTGAATATGTACTCGTATATATTTTAGAATTTTTGGTCATTAATTCTTACATAAAATGAAAATATATTGCCAAAGAGAGACATCGAATATACTCACCGTAATTTGTATGTTAGAATTTTGTTTATGGTTAAAGCTATAATAATTGAAAGAAAATTCTATTTGTCAATTTCTCCTCTTAAATTTCCAACTTTTAGTTAAATTCTGAATTATTTTTCCTCATTCAAATGGAGGGTAAGTGTCCTCAAAATTGGTGTGCCCTCTTTTCTCTCGACTCTTCTTCTCTTTCCTTCTAAAACACACAGTAGCTTTGCAACTCTCTTTGGTTCCAGGAGTTTTTCCCTAGAACTGCCCACTCGTTTGGCTAATAAATCAGGTCTCTATCTCCCTCCCACCCACACACCCACACCCCCCCACCCCTTCCCTAATATGTGGTGGAGAGTTTTCTCTCCCAATTTTGTTGCTTTTGCAAGGGTTTTGTCTCAACCCTAGTTTTAAGGGGCTGATTACCAGTCCTTCGGCCTAGCTTTGAGTAAATCTGTCGACTTAAGCCTCTAGTGCATGTGGCCTCACAATTTTGATTTCAACCTAATTTTTTCCAATTTGTTAATTTCTAATAGCACAATATACCCTAGTTCATAGAGTTAAATGAAGAAAACAAAAGCACTTTCTAAAAAAAATGAAATAAAAAATGCACTTAACGAAATATAACATAATCTATATGAATTGTAAACTTTGCAAAGCACAGTGACTAATTTGGCTAAATATTTTTTTTAGTGACAAATTTAAATTTTCATGTAAACCCCAGTGACCATAGAAGTATTTAAACCTATATTTTATAATTAAAGAAATTTTAAAAAAGGAAGAATTTCACTTAAACCCCCTAAGGTTTGGTATAATTACAGTCACACCTCATAGGTTTCATTTATTACATTCACACCCCTTAAATCTAACAGGTGTTAACTTAACAGCCAAGGGTAGGACTGTCTTTTTAATTAGGCTGCATAACATATGAATGAAAAAAATAAGGATTAACTACACTTTAGTCCCTAGAGGTTTAATGTCAGTATCGAAATGGGCCTCAAGGTTTCATTTTCATCAATTTCGTACCCAACATTTCGAAATATTACTCATTTACACCAATCGTTACATTGACCGTCAAAGTCAGACGTTAAATAATGACATGGCAGTCATGGGACCCACCTCATAACCAAACAGCAATTAGAAAGCAACGTCATGATGGGCAATTTCGAAAAAAAAAAAAAGATCAGCTTCGCACGCGTTCCAAGGCGTACTTCGATTAACAGGCTTGGAAAAATCGAACAAACTCAGTTTCTGAGTTGTGTTCGTGTACTGAGACAGACATAAAGGAGAGGGTTTGAGGGTTTAAGGGTTTGTTCGTGGTTTGGAGTGCAAAAATTTGAAATAGACTGCAAAAATCATACTGAAACAGAGGTTTTCGAAAGATCTGAAGAATATGAGTTGGGGACTTCGTCCGGAAGGATATGGAGAACCTTTCTATGGTACGTATAGCTTACTATTCCAAGGTTCTTGGCAGATGATGTTTTCGAGTGAAAGTTTCAAATAGAGTCAGTTTCGAGTTTGGTGTCGACTGAAAGTTTGGCTTTTATAATAGATTGTGAGTTTCGAGTTAGGTGTCGGTATCACTGTGTCTATTTAATTGGTAAATGGAATGATGTGAATGGTAGGTGATATGCGGAAGTAAACGTTGGCTTTTGTATGTGGTTCTACAACCATTGGGAATCTTACCTTTTGTTTATGTGTGTACTGACATAGAAACCTGCATTTGTATATGTGTGTTTGTATAGTTGCATTTGTATATCTGTATATGTATTTGTATTTGTATGTGTATTTGTAAACAGGAGTGCATGTATTTTTTTTGGGTAAAATTGGTAAAATTCATGTGTGGCTTTCGACCTGCAGGGGATGAGGCAGGATTTTCTATTCAAATGTACCACAATGGTGAAATAAGAGGTAACTATTATGTGAATGGGTCTGTAGATTGGTTTGATTATTGTGATAAGGATAGAATGTTAATGACTGAGATAGATGTCATGGTCAAGGAGTTAGGGCATGAAGGTTTGATTAAAAATGTCAGCCATTGGATTGGATTCGGAGAAGCAGATCGGAGCGCTAAGGGCGTGACACGTGGCTTCTATCCGTTGGACCCTGCACAGGGCTGACGTCAACGCACGTTGGTTTAAATTTTTTTTACCGTTGGTGCGTGCACTGCACGCGCCAACGGTAAAAAAATTTAAGCCGCGCAATGACGTCGCGCATGACGTCACCAACACGCGGGCTCGACCTCAGGCTGAACTAGCCTTCGGGCCAGCCCGACTTCGTGGGACCCACTCGTTGCCTGGGCTTGGGCTCCTCGCTAGAAATAATTTTTGAGTTTTTTTCCCCCAGCCCGAGGCTTTGTGGCACCAGTGGAGTTGCTCATAGATGGAGGGAGTCGGTTGGAGAAGGGAAGGATGGAGAGAGGAGAGAGTTTATTTATTTATTTTAAATATTTTAAAAGAAAAAATTAATTATGGTTATCTATATGGACATATGTTAACTTTTTAAAAAGACGATGAGGTACACATTGAGTTAAAGAGCGATATAGATCCGGACGGTTCCAGAGGAACACACCTCAAAGCTCACACCCAAAACGACACCGTAGCCTTTATTTAAAACTCTTTGAAGGATTACAAGTTAGAACGGCTCCACGCCAACTGGGGATTCAGTTCGGTGAGACTGAGAACGAACGGTGACTCAATTCGGTGATGCAGTCCAACTAGCTTGGTAAGCTCTCTATCCCCAACCACTTCAAACCACAAATTCTAATTCCATACAAATTTAACAGAAATGGGTTTTTTTTTTTTAAATCTGTTTGTTTTTGTTGTTCATGCTTCTGGGTTTATGCTGAATGGGTTTTTCTCAGGCAACCAACCCAGAAAATGTAGGATGAGGTTGAAGATTCATTGGGTTTATTTATTGGGTAAACTATGTAAATGGGCTGTTGTTAATCTTTTGTTATATTGGCATTGGTTGAAAAATTTTAGCTCATAATAGGGGAATTTAAGTAAAACTTTGTTATGTTGAGCTGCATAGATCAAGATTTTGATGTTTAAGTTGAAATCAATAAGACACTAGACTTCATTAGAATTATGCAGCAACTTAATGCTACTAAGCAAGCATTTCTTAGATGAAATGAAGGGCTTGGTCTTATGTGTGGTATTGCAAGTTTTAGGCTCCCTTGGGAATTATTGTTACTAATGGGTTTTGGATTTGGACTATATTCAAGTGTTAAGGCCATGCCATCCCACCATTTTAGCCAAACAAATCACTTTACAAATCCCATCATTTTGAAGTTGTTTCGCACCTCAAAGTACTTCATCCAAACACACTTTTTATGTTGGAAAACAGAGGGATATTTAATCTGCAATGAAACTTCAAACACACTGGTGAAGAGTGTTTCCTCTCCCATTAGAGACAGTTTCTATTTTGGTACATTCTAAAATGTCTAAAGCATTTGGTTTTTTTTTGTTAATGTAGGAGCTCTGAGGAAAGAGAAATGTCCAGGTTTCGAGGACTATTGCAAGCTTCCTTAAATGCAACCAAGAAGGGTACTATTGCCATCTGTTCCTTTGTTTTCCATCTTTTTCCATGATACAGTAGAGAATCTCATGCATATAAGATGTGTGTAACTGCCTTACATTCTATAGTCAAATTTGTTTGATTAGTGGTGATAGTTATATATTTCTAGAATTTTGAAGAATATATAAGAATTCACTTACTATGTCCGAATATATTCAAGATCATGATTAATGCCTTAATAGTACATTAACACTTTAGCACCAACAGATTATGATGGTCAAACATTATTTCATTTGTGTTCTTCCAGTTTTATAGGAGTTTGAAGTCTACTTCTTGATTTCATATCAGTAAGTGAGCACAGATGTTTCGCTTTTTCCACATTGATAGATGAAGTTATGCAACTTGTGATACACAAAGTTATCAATATTGAAACAATTTTGTTGTATTAACGTTATCCTGGTTTCTTTTATATCGAATATCCATTTTAGCACTTACATGGAATGTTGAAGACCTGGTGCCTCCAACTGAGAGATATATTTTCAATTTCAATTCGAAGGATGAGCTCAAGAAGTGGCATCTATATTCTGATTCCGAATATGGAGGTATGGAAGTACATAATTTTGATGTCTCCTTATGTGAGTATATAAGAAAAAACTAAAAGCAGTTAGGATTTATTGTCTAGTTTATTAGTTTCCTTGCATATGAGTGCAGTTTTAATTTACAATGGAGTTTTTCCGTGCATGCAACATTGTTATGTATCACTTGATGGAATTGTAGCTTTGTTTTCTGAAGTATTTTGTTTGGTTTCGCTGTTTTTTTTTTCCTTCACTTTCATTTTGGATGTGCAGTAAATTGCTATGATTCTAACATATCTCTCATGTCTCAACTCCTATTTCTTTTGCAGGGTTGTCCTCGGCATCTTTAGAGATCCCAGATACTGGAAATGGACCCAACGGTAATGGACAGAACTTACCTTTAAATGTGGGAACATATCAAATAGTTTCTAGTGCTACTGGTTCAAGTTATTTTTGCTCTAAACACAACTTTCATGCATAAAGAATTAATTGGGGTCTTTCAAAAAATGAAGGGAAAGATACTGTAATTAGAAACTTGTTTTTCAAATGTATGCTTTCTTGTAATAAAAGTTACATTTTTATGTTCTGATACTAAATAAAGTGAAATGGAGAACTACTGCTTAGGTGATATGGTCTGATACCAAGGCAGGTTATTGCCTTGGTGGCAAAGTTGTAGGATAGTACCTGTACTTTGAATGTAAGATTCAGATAAGATTAATCATTATACTAACTTATGAAATTGCAAAGTTTGTGAATCCAAATTATGCTACGAGTTCACCGGCTCTCATTACATCTCTGCTGTTACCAATAGTTTATTTATTACGCACTTACATTCCGAAACCATTCTCACTATAACTTTTTAGGAATTTTCTCGGGTAACCTTTCGTTGGATTTCATTGAGGGTTCAAAATTGAAGATAAACAGGAGTGGCTTTTGTGGAATGCGGTCCAAAAAGGTGAGCGTTGAACAGTATTCCAACATTTTAGGGATATAGATGAAAACATCAGAAATGAAGACAGAAAAGTTTTCTTAATGATCTTTTAATATTATATTACTATTCCGTATCATCTTAACATCTTAAGATTGTTCCCATACTGGTTTTAAATTATTAGCTAATTCACAGTAATTGTTATTCTTGTTGTTTGTTGATCTCAATTTCATGTGTGAATGTGTGTTACTCCAGTTTTTCTTGTTCATGAAAAACACAAGTTATTGATTCTATATTCCTGAAGATGAGTGAAGATCAGTTTTCCAATTTCCTGACACCAAATGAGCATTATTGTTACTCATATTTGTGATGACCACAGTGCAAATTTTGGATTTATGCTACAGAAAATGATGGAATGATTTAGTTACATCGTATAAGTACCCACTTAAATATTGTTAGCCCACCAAAGAGAGGGTTTAGTTGGCATCATTTCGATATTTCTTTCTTTCTTCTGCAGTTTGACGGCTTCATTGATTTGGACCCATATGATACCGTAGCACTGAAAGTTAGAGGAGATGGAAGATGCTACATATCTACGGTGAGTATTTTTGTCTTGATCATGTAATGAGAGGAGTTGGAATATAAGACTTGTACATCCATACTTCTTTATTTGTCATTTTTTAACTTATGTGGTCCTTGCATATACAGATCTATACAGAAAACTGGGTAAATTCACCTGGGCAAGAAGAAGATAATTCGTGGCAAGCTTTTGTTTTTGTACCCAAAGACAACTGGTACATTGCAAAGGCAAGTTATACTTACCTCCACCTTTGTTGCTTAGAAATGTGATATGATGGACCTGGCTCTCATAGGGAGCCAAGAAACATGAAATTCAATTTAATGGAATGTCTTTGGGTATGCCAACTGATAATCCTCATGATGGTTTGAGTCCGTGACATCATTTTTCTGGGGCTCATAACTGAATGCGTCATCTTTTTCTTTTATCCTATCTTGGGTTACCATTCAACATCTGATATGATAGCACCAGGACGCTCTGAAAACACTGAACGGTTTGCGTTTGTTGGTGCAGTCATAACTTTAAATAATTGATGTATTTAAATCAATTTCCTTTCAGCTAATTTTGTATGGTCTTTCAGATTCCTCTTGCCCGGTATCTACCAACATGGAGAGGAAATGTTATAGATGCAGAAATGGAAATGAATCCTTCTCGCGTTGTTGGTATGTCTCTATCAGTCAATGCAGAAGGTGGTCTCCCAGGTGCTAGAGTTGGACCGGGTGATTTCAAGCTCGAAATTGATTGGATCAAGGCTTTAAGAACACAGTGAACCCTGTAAAATATTTTGGAGAATGAAATTCAGTTGTATTCAAGTTTGTTTTATGCTGGTAACAAAGCATTGGAAGGCTTGACAATTCACAGAAAATGAAAGCTCCTGCTGCTTTCCTGCTAATACAGTTGAAAATTTTGCTCTGTTTGTGGGTTACATTGATAGCAAATTTGAGCTTTTGCAATAATAGTTGGCCTCCATTATCTGGAAGGTCTTGTATATGATACTGAGAACATTTTGCAGTGAAGAATTTGAGCAAAACAAAAAGAAAAAGTTCCTAAATAGGATCGCTAAAATTTGTTCTATTTCCATTCCACCGGAATGGCTGTTTCCGGCACTCACGAAGGATGTAAACGTTCACTTTGATGATTAATCCAATTATCAGTTCTGGAAAAAAAAATTATCCAAGAACTTGAGGGGAAAAGAAAAAGTTGGAACCAAAAAATACTGAAATGGACCTAAAAGAGGCTTTTTCATCAGATTGTCCCCTTTATGTTTGCAAGTTGCAAATTGTAATGGTTTTTGGTTTCACTGCACCTAATTTCCCATCCTTCACTGCCTCATGAAGTTAGAAAATCTAGTTAACTGAGTGCCATGGGACCCCTGCCATAGCTGGATCCGCATCATCAGTCATCCATTCAAGCCAAAATTTCTGCATAAGGCAAAGCAATTTAATCCTTTTCTTTTCTCTGTTCTGGGCCTAATCTATTTTGCTTTTTTTCAGACCAAAAAAAATAAAATCTATTTTGCTT